CTTGGCATCGTCCTTGACTCTTTCCTTTATTTTCCACATTCAGTCTACCAGGGAACATCAATGGTTCTGTCCTGAAACTATAGGCAATCTCACTGCTTCCCACCAACTCTTCTGCTACCACCTTGTCTCCTTGTTTTGGTCTGAACCACCATCACCTTTTACCTGGTTAAGAACAGCTACTTAACAGGCTTTCCTGTTTCTATTTTTGTCCTCTTATAGTTTCTTATCAACAGTCAAAATGACCCTTTAGAAACTGTTCATATCCTGCACTGATTTCCTATTTCTCTAAGAGTGAAATTCTTACACTGTCTCACAAGTCCTGACATGACCCATCTCCCATTATCTAACTCTTTCTATACTGTTCTGTACTATTGGCTTTTGAGCTTTTTAGGACAAAAATTATCACCTTTATTGTTCACTAGTGTATCCTAAGTACCTAAAAGTATCTGTCTGACACATGTCAGGGTGTCAACATACATCTTTTAATTAAATGCATGAATTTCACTTATTTCTTCATCATTCATTTTTCCACTGTTGGAATGTAAGATACATGTGGGCAGGGTTCTTATTGTTCTTGTTTCATGGTGTGTCTAAAACACTCAGAACAATAGCCAGTATACAATAAACGCTTAACCAGTTCTTGTTGAAGAAATAAATACATATCTACTGTGAAAAAAATGAGTGCATCTACTTACATTATATTGAATTAATACATTATGCATACAGTTAACATAGTTTCCACTGTTCACTCAGATTGCCATCTATGGTGAATAAAGAGGTTGTACAATAAAGCAAAACATGAGCTGTTTATAAAAATAGAAAGCTATTGGAAGCAGAATGTAGGGTCACAGTTGCCCCCAAGTTACAATCATGTAGTGAACTGGAATGCATTTAGTATATATCACAATTCTTTTTGCAGTTTGCCCTGACTATACAAAGTCTTACATTTAATTTCCTAAGGAAAAAAAAAAAAAAAAACACAAAACCCTACCACTTTGCTGTTATTTGCAAACTGCTTACCCTAGGGGGTTGGGGGGGTTGTTTACAAAAAATGAGAAAGAAGTCATTTCAGTGTATAAGAGCATTTTCTATTTTTGAAAGATAGATTCACGATGCCATAGACTGACATAATCTATTTTGTTTTTCATCACCATTGAAAGGCATTCATATCTATATATTTCTGTGTGCTAATGTAGGGATCCAAAACCATTTTCTGTTATTGTTTGGATTGTTAATCTCTCCAGGGTTTCCTCAACATTCTCAAGGCAGTTTCTTGCACCAAAGGGAAAACGAAGAAGTTGAGATGCAATTTTATCTCCCAATTGAACTTGATTAAATGGAGACTGTTCTAATCAAAAGTTTGAATCCTGGGGGAGTGCAATGTTGTTAACAGGTTTGAGTATATCTGAGAAGAAAAAGGAAGAAGAGTACTAAAGTTAAGGCAGAGAAATAATCAGGCAAGAAAATAATTGTAGTAAAGCTTATTAAGGCATAAAATTAGGTGAACAAATTGCCTCACAGATAGTGTTAAGCTCATTGCTAGACTGGCAAAGGCAGTCGAAGAAAGCTCTTTGAAAACATTATTTTTATTATTTTAATAATTTGTGTAGGAATCATAGTAGCTGCAATCTGTTAGCCAGAAAACAATTGCCAGCTGGTGTCATCGTGGAGTAACTATAGTAGGCTGAATGCAAACATGTTTTTCCTTTTTACCTGGAGAACATTCAATTTTAGAAAGTTTCTATTCATTTTTGCCCGAATGTGAGGTCTGCCCTTGTAGATAAGAAAGCCTGTTTATTGCATGATTTAAGAGCATTGATTAGGTCATACCAAGACCAAATTTAGGACAGACCATGTTTACCCAACCAACGTTACTTGTCATTAAAAACGAATACCTGGTACATGCCTGAATTATCTATGTAATTGCCTTGACTCTATGTGTTGTTTTCCATGTGATTACCTAAAAGAAATGGTGGCACTCCATTAGGTATTTTACTGGAACCAGAAAGAGAACTTCTGGGATAATGTTTGTTAAGGACATTCTTATGGACACACAAGTTGTATTAGCAACATAGCTGTTATATTTGTTACAATATTCTCTTTTGAAATTCTTCTAAATAACTTATTTTAATAATGGTATAATAATTTCATGGTTGTTATTATATTTCCCCTGTTTATCTGGAAACTCACAGACTAGGTTCCAAAGTACTGTAGGATGCAGAATTGCTCAGCTTTGCTCATAAAGCCAGGGGAAAGGGAAAATAATTTAATTATTCTGTTGTCTCTTCCTGCTTCCTGACTCAAAGAGTCCCAAGAGGGGAGAGAGGAAATTATGAGCTCTGTTGTTGATGTTCATTGGATTTCTTCAGTGATGATTTGAATATACTCCAGGGAAGTTACTAGTTTCTAAAACTGACTTTGCTTTCACCTACCTTTCTTTGGTTCAGTTTCCTCATCTTTGAAATGGGATATTATACTTTATTCATCTACTTAAGGATTTTGTTCTGAGGTACAAAGGGCACAATGGCTAGGAAAGAGCTTTCCACTATGGAAATTACCACTAGTGCTCCAGTTAACAATTTAGGTGACTAAAAAGGTTTTATTTTTCTGTGTGATATCAAGTAAATGTATAGAAAATAAGAACCTTCTCAAATAAGGTTATATGAAAAAGTATAATGATTTTATTACTTGATTAAAGCAAAGGTTTTATATATATATATATATATATATATATATATATATATATATATTTGGAGGTATATATATACATATATAAATAAGCAACACCATCAGCTAGATGTATTCAAGAAATAATTGCTGGAGTTGTAGCTCAGTGGTAAAGTGCATGCCCAGCATGTGTGATGCACAGGGTTCAATCCTCAGCATCTCATAAAAATAAAATAAAATAAAGGGTATTGTGTCCATCTATAACTAAAAAAAATTTTTTTTTAAATTGCTGGATTCTATTGGGTTCTTATTCTCTCACGATTTCTTGCTTTGAAGTGTAGTGTGATGCCATTAATGGTATTTTAAACCTAAGTGAGAGCAAAATAAATAGAATCAAATGAACTTTAGAGAAGCTGATTTATCTAACCCAACACCTTTCTAACAAATATAGGCTCCCTCAGTAAGGGCACAGTTTGTGGATGTTTATAGAGTCACAAACAGGAAAGGAAACAAAGGAAGAAAACTTTATTGAGAAGTATCCCAAAAATAATATTTTTAAAAAAGAATAATAAAAATAAATATCCTATGGGCAAACTTTAGCGTACCTTAAAGAGATCTGAATGGCTGCAAAGGGGACATGATAAGGAGATCAACAGTGTCTCAGGAAGTACTTACTGCATAGATTACAAAGAGGCCACTTGGGCAGGTGGGCTACTATGGAGATGTGGAATGCCCAGGACCTTGCTGGCAGGATAGCCAGGAGAAGCAGTTTGGCCTGGACCAGGAAGTCACACTGCATTGACTCCAACTTCAATACACTGCCATTCTTCACTCAGAAAGCAGGCCAAGCAGGTCTAGGGATTGTGGTGGGGCAGTTACTCTAATTTGATGGTAAATCCATTCATTATCTAAAAAATAGAGGTTGATTTTAAGAAAATATTTGGGATTAAATACAAAATCTAAATACTTGAGAAATAAAGTTTTCAAAAACATCTGCAGGAAAAGAAGGGCTTAACTTATGAAATACAGCCACCCAAGGGGGCTGGGATTATAGCTCAGTGGTAGATCGTTTGCCCACCATGTGTTTTGGCACTGGGTTCGATTCTCAATACTGCATATAAAAATAAATAAATAAATAAATATCCGTCAAAAACTAAAAAATTTTTTTTTAAAAAAAGAAATACATGGGGCTGGGGATGTGGCTCAAGCGGTAGTGCGCTCGCCTGGCATGCGTGCAGCCCGGGTTCGATCCTCAGCACCACATACAAACAAAGATGTTGTGTCCACCGAAAAAACTAAAAAATAGATATTAAAAAAACTCTCTCTCTCTCTCTCTCAAAAAAAAAAAAAAAGAAATATATGTAAAAGTAGGTGCAAAGGAGTCAGCTTTGAACATTAAGAAACCCAGTGCATATTAGTAGAATGAATTTAGAAGGTGATCACTAACTAGTATGTTCTGCATGGTTGTGGCCTGGACAGTCAGGAGCTGGAAGAAATGAAATGTGCATTGAACACACAGTCTCATATACAAAAAGCATCTAATGGATGCTGGTTGAATAAACAGAGTGGAGTTGGACATAGGTAAGTTCGTAGTTGAGAAAGGACCGAAATAAATTTTGAGCACCAGTTAAGGATGTCTTGGGGAGCAATTTCCCCTGCCCAGGAGGAACCAGCGAATCCGTGTTTAGTTTAGGTGGTTCCTTCAGCGGTTTGAGACGTTATTTCTGTAAAGAAGGCCGCCCAGGTTTCTGTCCACTCTCAAACTGAGAAAGCTGCCAGTGTAGGGGTGTCAGATCAGCACCAGAGACGCCCTCCTCGGGGCTGTTTCTCGCTGCACCTTAGCCTTCCTGCCAAATCTTTCTTCGCTCCAGGCTGAAGGGATTCCCACCCCCAGTTGCCGCCCCCGAGCCCCTCTGAGCCCCGGACTCCTCCCCTGGAAACTCCTCCGGGGCTGGGGAAGGCTTTGGCGCATGCTCCGTACCTAGGGCAGGTTTTTGCTGCGGGTAGCAGGGCTCCTGTCACACCGGCTGGCGGGTTGTGGCTGTGCCAGCCTGTGTGTGAGAGAGTGTCTACGTCCCTGCTCCTGGGCTGACCAACCCGAAGCAGCAGTGCGACTATCCAGGAGAGGCGGCTCCACAGAGGCGCGTCGCCCGCTGCCGCTGAGGGGGCTGCTCTGCAAACTTGCGGCGGGCGCCGTCCGCCCTCGAAGATCCCGCGCCTGGCGACCTACGGGCAAAGGTGCTGGGTACTCGTGAGGGGCGCGGTGCCACGGTCGCCTGGGGCGGCGGGGCCGGGCCGCGCCTTCGCCCTTGGCGGGCGCCCTGGCGAGCCTCATGCAGCCCCTGCGCTCGCGGCCACAGCAGCCCAGCTGCCCGGCTGCCCCGGGCAGGTCCAGGACCCGATCCCCGCTTCCCAGCGCCTGAGCGTCTGCGAGCCGGCGGCGGGATGCTCTGTGTCGCCTGAGAGCGCCGCGCCGCGCCCGGGTGGGAGCGAGGAGCCGGCCGAGCCCGGCGCCCCCGGGAGTGTAGGGCGCTCCACGCCGCAGCCGCAGCCGCGCGCGCCGGCGCCCGCCTTTCCTGCTCGGCTCACAGGCCCCGGCTTCGTTAGCCCCCGAGTGCTGCGGGGCCGCCAGCCAGCCACACGCCTCGGCGTCAGGGGCATGGAGGAGCGGCGGGCTCCGAGCCGCGCCCCGGAGTCCCCGAAACTTCCGAGCAGGCGCCGGTCCGCGCCGCTGCAGCCATCGCCGCCGCCGCCGCCGCCGCCGCTTCACCTGCCGGCCTGAGAGTGGGACCATGGATGAAAGGTTCAACAAGTGGTTGCTGACGCCGGTGCTCACTCTCCTCTTCGTGGTCATCATGTACCAGTACGTGTCCCCTTCTTGCACCAGCTCCTGCACCAACTTCGGGGAGCAGCCCCGCGCGGGGGAGGCCCGCCCGCCAGCCGCCCCGAGTCCCGCCCGCCGAGAACAGGCGCCTCCGGAGGAGTGGGAGCGGCGGCCCCAGCTGCCGCCGCCGCCCCGGGGGCCGCCCGAAGGGATGCAGGGGGTCTCTGCGCCGGAGGACGAAGAGGAGGAGCCGGGGGATCCAGAGGAGGAGGAGGAGGAAGAGGAAGAGGAGCCGGACCCCGAGGCCCCCGAAAACGGGTCCCTACCCCGTTTCGTGCCGCGCTTCAACTTCACCCTGAAGGACCTGACTCGCTTCGTGGATTTCAACATTAAAGGGCGCGACGTGATCGTGTTCCTGCACATCCAGAAGACCGGGGGCACTACGTTCGGCCGGCACCTGGTGAAGAACATCCGGCTGGAGCAGCCCTGTAGCTGCAAAGCCGGCCAGAAGAAGTGCACCTGCCACCGGCCCGGCAAGAAGGAGACGTGGCTCTTCTCCCGCTTCTCCACCGGCTGGAGCTGCGGGCTGCATGCCGACTGGACTGAGCTCACCAACTGCGTGCCGGCCATCATGGAGAAGAAGGACTGCCCCCGCAACCACAGCCACACCAGGTACTGTCCCCTGTCCCGTCTAGCTTCCTGCTACCTTGCTGCCCCAAGTCCTGCCCCTCTCCCCCAAGTCCCGGCCCAGGCGGCCCCGAGTTCCCTGAGCTTGTCAGCCTTTTGTAGCGGTTGGGGCAGAGGCTTTGGGTGAGGGATGAGAAATCTCTGGCTAGCGCCAGGATCTTGAACTCACCAGTTCTTTAGTTCCCCCTGCTTCCCGCCACCCCCCTCCCACCTCCTGCTTTCACCTTCAAAGGTGTAGGGAGCTGTCGTGTGCTGTGTATCCTGCCTGCTCAATGAACACCGTGGAATGGCTAGGGGGTCGCGGGCTGGTTAGACCAGAGGCTGGAATCTTATACTTAAGTTCTGTGGCGGAACCCCAAACCCAGGAAAAGGCAGGGAGAGGTGGTGGTGGTGGAGGGCAGGAGTTTTCCAGGCATGAAACAGAGGAGAGGAGTATAATTTCTTCATAAGTGGCTCTTGGGTGACTGCTCACCAGCTCAGAAAACAATCCTCCTGATGGCTCTTTGAAGATCCACCGGCAAATTCCTGCTTTACATCGATAACCCTAATTCTGGAGATGGTCTTTGTTACCCAGCAGTGCCAGGATTTGGGCTCATGCCGTTCTCAGCAAGATTTCCACTTTCTCTCAGGCTATTCTGTCAATTTTTTTCAAAAATATTTGTTAAATGCCTACTGTGTGCCTGGCACTGTGCTACCAACTGAGTGGGTAGGTACAAAGATCACATAAAGTAACATACTTTGCTTTAAAGAGGGAATGGCTCCTCCCCCCGCTCCGCCCCCCCCTTTTAGAAAGTGGTAATGCAGTTGAAGATTAGGAAAGTTTGAAACCTAATAGTCAATGAAACTGCTTATGCTATTAACATCCTTTGAGAGAGGCATGGGTTTAAGAATTTGGTTGAATGTTCTTTATGCCCACTGCAATCTGAAGATTAATCTGACATGCTTGGGGACTAAAATATTAAAAGCTTGGAACACTAGTTTATTGAAGTTTTTATCTCAAAGGTTTCAAACAATTTGGTGTAAGGAAATAGGAATTTAAACACTCGGCTCAGTAATGTTGGTATCAGATAGCTTTTGCATTTGACATTATGGAAAAGCTTCATTTACTGGAAACTACCCAGATTCTGGAATTCGCCGCCACTGAAGCATCTAATTCTACTTCATTTCTCCAAGTATGAGCAAAATTTCATTATAGGATTTTTTTTTTTTTTAACTCTGGCAGTTTTTCAAATACTCTCTCTCCTCCCTGCTCCTTTCCCTGTTTCATGGAAATTGATTAGAATAAGAAACTGACTGGGCTTGGAATGAGGGCATTAGAGTCTCTCAGTAGGATACTTTGGGACCTTCTTTTTTAAAAATTTTAATGGTATATTATTTTAGATTCTGCCACTTCATTTAGTCCTAAAACAGCCAAGTGTTACTTCCAAACTTTTTAACATAAGCATGCTCACTTAAGTGAGTTTGTCTGTTATATTTCATTCTATGCTGTATTCTTTTTATTTAGATATTATATATTCCTGTTTGACATCAGAGTTTGCTAGTGTGCTTCCTAGCTATTATTTCACTAAAACTGAGACTTTTATTTTCACACAGAAACACCTAATGACTGTTTAGTAGGGATTCATTTTTTAAAACCAATGTCTTAGTGAATAGATGAAGATTTAGAAGTTAGAGGAGGGCCCAGAATCTAAAAATAATTGGCTTTTTGCTGAGTGATGAAATGATGCTGCCATTAAATGAAGCCCTGCATAGATCACAAACAGTAAGGTGTTACTTCTGTAGGAAATACTGAATATCTTTATTTCATAATATAGGAAAATTTCAGCTTGACCATTTAAACATATGATTTATATGGCACAGTGTAATTATTTCCTTTATTTAGTGATGGATCATAAATATTAATTTCTCTCCAAATCACAAGTTATCAAATACTCAATTCACTTATACTGTTTTTCTTTTTTTAATATTTATTTTTTTAGTTGGACACAATATTTTTATTTATTTATTTTTATGTGGTGCTGAGGATCCAACCCAGGGCCTTGCACGTGCTAGGTGAGCGCTCTACTGCTGAGCCACAACCCCAGCCCCAATTTTCTTCAAAAATTTCTTATGGTAGCATTTTGTTTGTATCACTTTTTATAATCCTCTTTTTAAAAAATACCATCCTCTCTTATTCCCAGCAATTCTCAATTGCTTTTCTTCTCTAGATACTGTAGGAAGGAATCGTTGTGACATAAGTGAAGCACCCTGCATCCAAAGCTATAGGAATAAAGTTGAAAAGATGTTAACCTTAGCATCTTCCTAGCAGAGAAGACTGAATTAGTTGTCTGTCATTGTAATGTTTGTGTACAGCATTCTACAGTCAACCAGATTAGCCTGGATAATGGAGGGTACATTTTCACAATGCAAAATGGCAGATAATCTATTGCTACATAATGGGAACAAGGTTCTATTTCAAATAGGGCTGGCTCTAAGCAAAACTGAGAAGTAGATCCTGCTGATTTTATTTGCCTAGGCTCTCTGCTTTTGATCCTCCCTTGGTACCTCCTCCTCATTTCTCTCAAAGATCAGTGCCCTTATGGATCAAGTAATGGGTAACAGCTAGGAATCTGGAGTCAGATGGATGTGGTTCTTGTATTAACCAGCCATGTAACCAGTAAGTTACTCTTTCTGAGCCTCAGATTCTTCACCTTTAAATAATTAGAATAATTAGAATGTCCCTTATAGAGATATTATGAGAACTAAATGAGCTAATATATGTAAAATGCTTAGCATAGTTTATATGCACAGTATAAACTGCTGGTATACAGCACTTAAAACTTAATATGTGATATATAGTAGTACTGTGATATTAGTTGCTAATTTTAATAATATTTTGCCTAATAAAGGCCTTTTTTCCCAAAAGGATCTGAGGTCAGTTCCTTAGAGCAGCTTGGGTATAAATGGGTTGACTTGACTTACTTATAGAGATGCCATTTTATGATTTTTTTTGTACTGAGAATCCTAAGTTCTAAATTTAAGCAATAAATTGGAAATTACGGGCATTTGGACATTAATCATTGCAGGGGGCAGGATAAGGAGCAGGGGATGGGGGACACACAATATAATAGGCATTCTATTTATGACAAGAAAAACTATTTGAAATGGTGAGAGAGGAGGTAGGAAAATCTGGGAGAAAGGCACAAGCAAGAGTGCTACTCTGAAAAGGGATGTCTGGAAGGGTTGAAGGATCCATCATGGAAATTACACTTGCTCATGAAGGAGCAAGCCTCTGGGTTAGCAGTGTGGATCCAGCACAGAAGTAATTTCTAATCACAAATTGCTTAGAATAAGACAGGAAGCTAATAGGCAGATGGCACATCTGAATGACCTCTTTTCTCATATTACAGATAACTTTTTCCTGTTAGTTTTGTGTTGCTTTTTTTTTTTTTACTCCCAATTGTTACTTGGTATGTTATTGTTTCACACTATCTTATACTTCCTTCTTTTTTACTGAATTTTTTTCCTCTTAATATGCATGAACTGATCCTTGGTTACTGAGTATGGATAGAAACATACCATTTTATGGCTAAAAAAAGACCAAAGAGATAATCTAGTCCCACTCTAAAAAGGTGAAATGATATGCTTAGGGTTTCTCCAGGGAATTCATATTTTGTTTTCATAATTTAAATTCAGTGTTTTGCCTACTTCATCATCAGTTTGTCTCTGTAGGAGAAGGTATTTTAAGTACCTATTTACTATGTGCCAGGCATGATGATGGTCTTAGAATTTTGAGCAGTGTCAGTCCCATGGAGCCTAGGCAGTTAGAGAAGACAGATTTTGTTAGGTGAGTACAATGCCAATTCTTAAATAATGCTGGAAGATATTCTATCACATCCTCTTATAGGTTGGGTGGCAATCTTTCTGCTTTATGACCTGTATGCCATTGGTCTTGTTTCAATAGGAGCCATCTGGATATTATATTAGACCTATCTCTATGTTATAAGTGATACAAACCTAACTCAAACTTAATCCAGCCAGAGGGGAGTTACTTATGTAACTACTCCCCAGGAAAGAGTAGAGGTGGTTTCAGGACTGACTGGAACTAGGATCTCTGTCCCCACACTCTTTTGCATAGTGAGTGATCTCCTTCTACTAAATTGTGCTCATCCCATGAGGTGAATGAATGACCTTCACATCTAATAGCTCAGCAAGCCAAGAGGAAAGCAGGCCTTCTCTGAGTTCCTTGAGAGTTTCTTTTCTGAGAAGTCTTGGAGAATAACTGACAAATTTCAGCTTGTGTGTTCTTTCAGCCAGTCATTGTGGCTGGAGAGACAGTGTTCTTTGACTGTTCTTGTATCACAGAACTATCTCTATGACTGGGATGTGTGTGTATCTGTGGTGGTGGTGGTAAGACAGGAAGGAGGGGAAGAAAAAGGGAGAAAGGGAGAAAGCCTGCTTGTATGTGTGTGCATTGGGAGTGGGGACATCAGTTATCAGAAAGAATACAGCTCCTGAGCCAAGGGGCCTATGGAGTTCTGGACAGTCCCTCCAATTTGTTGACTAAAGATGCAAATAAATTAGAAATAAATGAATCTTCAGATCTCTTCTTTGTATTCAAATTAGGGAAATTTTAGAGTCAAACTGCAACTCAAATTTATCAGCAACATCTGGAAACCATGTTCATGTGAGATTTTATTGAAGGAATTGGTAATGTTTAATATGGAGATGGAAAAAATATAGAAAGACATAAAGCTTGTCTTCAAATATTCAGAGGATTATATAGAAGGTAGAGGAGAGTTGTTCTGTATCACTCTAAAGAATAGAATTAGGTTAAGAAGCAATGGAATTTCAACTCAGAGTAAGAATTTATAAGATTTTAACTGTCTAAAATGAGCATGAGCTGTTGTGTGAAGGTGCGTGGCGTGTCCCCCAGTAGCAAAAACCTTCGAAGTGGCTGGGGAGCTACTGATGTGGTAGGAGGAAGTCTTTGGGGGAGGGCTTAA